TAATGAAGGCCAGTAGTCACCTCCTCGTTGCTTCTTTTCTTTCTTTTTTCTTATAAAAAGACGGTAACTACCACTTTTTAAAATAACGATAATAACTTATACAGTAACTACCATCCATTTGTACCAATAAAAAATGATGATAATAATGATAATAAGTATAGGTAATAGGACTACAGCTGTCAAATTTGGAAATAATTTGATGAAACAAATTTCGAGCACTGACAAAATTAGWAGGGGCCGATAGGCCGAGGAATYTTTTGAATTCAATTATTTCCAAATTGGAAAAACATTTAGTCCTATTGCAGATTAATTATATCATCCCAAACTATACTAGACTGATTCCATAAGTCATAGTTTTCCCTCGAAAGAATGCGAATGGAAACGATCCAAATGAATCTTTAATTTGGACAGGAAAGAGAATTTGAAAATAATACAATAGTTGCTTATATGGGAATATAGAGTGAGGATACAATTATAATGATAATAATGATAATAATGATGATAATAAACTAACATCCTTCACCCACCTGTCGTGCGGTAGGTCTTGGTTTCAAATATTGACCCTGATCTACACTCTGAGTCTTAACCTTCCTGAGTAGAAAGTCTGCCTTTGCTCCATAAATATCTTCAAATGGTGAAATCTTTGCCGTGACTTTGAATGGCCATGTAAAATAACAGCCTGCTCTCATTTTGGAAGGTTAAACATAGAAATCACAGGTTTATAAGCTTAGTTTATAAGCTTTTGAGGGCCACAAGTTAATCAGTTAACAAAATTACTGTCACGTGTCACCCTCATTAAATAAAGTCTTCAATCAATCAATCAATCAATTAGTTGCGACTGTGTCCCTCACTAAGTGGAAGTTGATTGCTATTGATTGTCTAGAAGCCCATAGTTGTTATATTTGACACACTATTTTATGTCTTGCAGCTCCAACTACGACGACTCCTTCCCCTAGTAACTGCAGTTCAAGTCAGTTCTCATGCCAAAATGGTCGCTGCATCTTACGTGCATGGTACTGTGACGGTGAAGATGATTGTGGTGATATGTCTGATGAGCCCTCGTCTTGTCAYAGTAAGTAATCTTTTTTTAGCTAGTGTTCTGTATGAGAGACCCTTTTCTTATGACCTTGAAAACTCCTGACGCGGTACCTCATTTGTTGAACTAATCCCAGCCACCGAAATAACTGCCCTTCCATAAAAAAATATCTAAGGTACACTTGCAGTACGGTAAGGTACAACTTTACGACAGTCGTATTTGTCCAATTGTAATTCACTCTCTATTATAGCCTGCATGACAGAGGTCAAATAGGTAGTTGGACACCAGCCTTTTGTAAGGGCGTCGTAGGTTTAAGTGCCGACCACCGACCGGTTCAATGTACCTCACTAAAATGGGATTTTTGAAGTATGAACATATTAAAACTAAGTCTTATTAGTGGCGATATTGGAGTTCAATCTCGGACAAGACACCTGGAACGGGAAGGTTCCAGTTTTTTGAATGCCCTTGGTTTGCCGTGGGWCGGAGTGGATAGACTCGTTTCAATTAGTTAGTCACCAAAAATGTACAAAGATGAGACCGCTGAGGTTCACGGGAAGCATTTATTATATCCAACAACTAAAGCTTTTGATAGAAACTGTTGGTAGAGGATGCTCATATGAGGTGAAACTGGTAAAAGATCTTAGGTTCATCAATAGTTAAAAAAGYGATTTCTTGAAATGTAAAACGTGTCGCTTCACTCATAATCCTTGCTGGACTCAGCTTTGAAGGTTTTGAAGTGACTAACCGTTTATTGAAACGAGTATATAAGGATCGATATAAGCAGTGTAATTATAACTATTATAGTGTACGATAAGGATGAAACCAAGCTTGTTTGTTTGYATGACAGGAACATGTTCATCTAGTCAGTTCACATGCAGGAATGGAAGGTGCATCTCGAGAAGATGGATATGTGATTCAGACAATGATTGTGGAGACTTTTCAGACGAGATTGGATGTGCAAGTACGTTTTACCTACCTCGCGTGCTAGCCATATAACATAACGTTCTTTTAAAAAAAACCTTTTGCATTTATGCTATGAATGTTTTGTGCATTCAAGGGGTTTTCCTCCTTCCGTAAAACCAAGCGCGCTAAATTCCAATTCGATCTTTGAGTTAGCCGTGCCCTGACCTTGATAAACGCGGAGGTTGTTTCAGGAATGAARTTTGAAGGATTTTTGAATGTTTTCCTTTTTCGTTTGTCATTCATGGACGTTGTCTCCTACACAGCCGTTATTAGTGTCGTCACGCAACACTCACCCTGCTGCCGCTGTTAGGAGTGAGTGTTGCGTGACGACACTAATATCAGCTTCGTTGGAGACAGTAATGGACATAGATGATGCTTGAATTGTATGCATGAAATATTTAGTTAGTACAATTAAACATAAATTCTTTCCATTTCTTTTATCAAAAGCCACTACACCTCCTTTCACTACCTCACATTCCACCACAGCACGATACTGTCGAAGTTGGGAATTTACCTGTGGAAATGGAAGATGTGTTCTATATTCCCAATGCCATGATGGTATCAATGATTGTGGAGACAACACTGATGAAACGCAATGTAAGTCGACACCCTACTAAATCTACACCAGTTCATCCGAATAAAAATTATTTGGATTCTTATTACTAGCTGTAGCTATTAAAGTCTAGTTTTCAATTGCGATCGAATCGAAGTTGGAAGCAGCTTGTGATGAATTTAAAATCAAAATACGGAGTTGCAAACAGAGTCGAAAGCGCGTAAAAAGCGGAATCTGTAGAATCGGAAGGTTTCTCTTGCCAAAATCTTTTGCTGGAATTTTTTTTACCTGCATCAATTCTTTGGGTGGATGTTGCGTCAAATTGTAGAATAAAAGCGATACATTCCAACTTTGGGTAATGGAGCCAATCAGAAAGCACCAAAAAAAAAAAAAAGCCAATTTATTCCCACGAGAAAAAAAAAAAAAAAATGAAGATGGTTATCTAGTTGCACGTAACATCAGGGTCAAATTACAATTCTCGTTCAGTCTACGTTTCTGATTGCCTCCACTACCCAAAGTTTGAATGCATTGTTTTCATTCTACATTTTAATTGGTTCTCTTGTCTAACTGGTCTAAGTGCCCCGGTTACAGTAGTTGCTTTGTAACGTTCCGTCCATCTGTCCATCCTCAGTYGTATTAAGATGTTTATTGGTTTATTTTTCATAGGCCACGTCACTTGTTCAAGCTCTCAATTCACTTGCAAAAATGGGAAATGTATTCCGCAGTTATGGAAGTGTGATAAGTWCAATGACTGTGGAGACTACTCAGATGAGATTGGATGTAAATGTAAGTGAACATGTGTAACAGAAAATTGACCAAATAGTCACAAGCGAGAAAGTAATATAGTACAAATCTATAGAGTAACTGGGTTATCTATCATAGACTATAGCAGGCATTCAGCATGCAATACACATCTATAGAGTAACT